CAGAAATTTAGTCATCATAACAAGTTGATATATGATTTTTCATCCCCTTATGCCAACGACAATGACATTATCCCATTCGAAAAGGGCACTTTCTATGTTGCGGTTTGCAATTCATGCAGCTATTTTCAATTGTAAAAAATTTAGCAACATCTCCCTATGGTTCCTCAAGTGCACGACTTATGTATTATAAATAAATATCTAGTAAGTATTCGAAGAACATTAAAGGGACACAACCAAATTTTCCATAATCGAAAATTGGCCAGGTTCATCGCAAATGCTAAACACATACTAGTGCGTTCCCGAACTATCCGAATTGGACAATTCGAGAATCAGTTAGATAGCAAAGACACATACTACATCTACATGCACATCCAACAAACTTTTAAACGAGTCTAAGGTTTTTTCGATTCTCTCATACATGGGATTCGTTTGAGCTAGAGTGGTTGTTAAATACTTTGGCTTCTGATGTGAATGTTTCCATTCAAGTTTAATAAAATCTTTCTTTCAACAAAAAAAAAAAACAACTTTGTATAAACGGTTATGAAATTTTAAAAATAAATAAATAAATTACACCACGATTTCCAAGACTACTAATGCACAAATAAAATTCACCTAATCTACATATAGTCAAATAGTGCCTTGGTGAGATATTTGATCAGAGGATGGAACAAGGAGGTGTTCGGTAATGTGCATGTTAAAGTAAGAAAGCTTTTTGAGGAAATGAATAATGTTCAATCGCAAAGCATGGATGACCCAGATAATGTTTAATTGTTAAATGAAGAATTAAGGATTCGAAATGAACTGAGTAGAACTCTCAATAATGAGGAACTCCTGTGGGCTCAAAAAGCGAAAATTAACTGGCTTTAATTAGGGGATAAAAACACAAAAAAATTTCAAACAGTAACTAATATTAGACGTAGAAGGAATGAGATTCTTAAAATTAAGGACTCTAGGGGCTTTTGGTGGATGAAAGGGGAGGGCATGGAGTAGGTTTTTGTGTAGGACTTCAAAATGCGTTTTACTGCCTAGTCTACCCCAAATAATGATGCGTTGTTTACATTTACTGGCATTATTGAGGCCTACATAACTGAAAGCCAAAACTTGGCTTTGCCTAGCCTAATTTGTGATATGAAATTTTTGAGGCTGTCAATGGTATTGGAGCTTTAAAGGCTCCTGGTCCTGACAGTTTTCATGCGATCTTCTACCAAAAATGTTGGGATATCGTCGGGCCTTCGGTCATTAATCTTGTGAAAGATTTCTTTTTAAATGGGTCAAGCTTAAGTTTAATTAATCATACAAATATTGCTCTTATTCCCAAGGTGAACAATCCTGAAATAGTGGCTCATTTTAGACCTATTAGTTTATGCAATGTGTCGTATAAAATTATTTCTAAAGTGATTGTGAATAGGCTTAAACCTATTCTAGAAAAGTATATTTAGAATATCAGGGAGCTCTTGCTCCGAAGAGATCTATACATGATAATATTTCTTATTGCTCGTCAGATTTTGTCTTTCTTTAAACGGAAAAGAAGGGGGTACGGGAGCTATGGCAATCAAGCTAGACTTGGAGAAGGCTTATGATATGTTGAGTTGGGATTATATTCAGATGGTTTTAACAAATTTTGGGGTGAATACCCACTGGATAAATCTAATTATGGAATGTATTTCGTCTACAGCTATGTCAATCATGATTAATGGTAAAGCTCATGGTTATTTCAAACCCTCTAGGGGATTAGACAAGGAGATCCCCTATCGCCCTACCTTTTTATTCTTTGCATGGAGTTGTTAATTAGACACTTTAATAAGTTGGCTTTAAAGCCTAAAACTAGTGTCTGGCTTTTAACTTCTCCATTGGGTTTTAAGGTCTCTAATTTAATGTTTGCAGATGATTGCCTTATTTTTTCCAAAGCATCTAAAGGAGCTGCTAGAAATATCTTAAATACTTTGAACATGTTTGCCTCTACCTCTGGACAAAAGATAAATTTCCATAAGTCTTCTCTCTATTTCTCAGGGAATACCATTAATAGTGTTCGTGTGGAGATTGCTAATATTATCCAGATTCAACACAAAACAACTATTGATAAGTATCTGGGCATAAATAAAATTATCTGTTGGAGAGATTCGGTAAATACAAAGGATGTTGAGTTAAAAACTAAGAACAAATTAGCAGATTGGAAAGCCAATAAACTCTCGAAAGCGGGAAGAATTACTTTAACTAAGACTAATCTTTGTGGTTTACCCAAATATGATGTCTTGTTTCAAATGTCTGAGAAGTTCACTAGGATGTTGGATAAAAAAAACAGGAACTTTCTTTGGCGAAAAGAAGGTAGGATGAATCTTGTTGCTTGGGACAAAGTTTGTCAGCCAAAGGGTAATGGGGACCTAGGTATTAGAAAGAGTAACTGCTTTAACAATACTTGTCTAGCTAAACTTGGATGGAAGGTCCTGACTGATGATCATAATTGGTGGGTTCAATTAGTTAAACAAAAGTATCTTCATAAAGAAAATTTTATGGATGCAAAAGTGAGGCAACATTACTCGGTAGCCTAGAAAGGCATTCTAAATGATAGGCCTGTTATTGAAAAAGGTGTGCGATGGATTGTGGGAAATGGCAAGGACATTTCGTTCTGGACTCAAGATTGGGTTTTTCCTTTCCCATTAAAGAACCTTATTCCGAAGGACCAGGAAGTCAGATTGATTTAGACCTAAAGGTTAATCATTTCATTATCGATGGGAATTGGAATAAACATTTGCTAAGTGAGTATGTGGATGAGGATGTTATTTGTAAGATCAGTAGTATACCATTGCCTTTTTATGATAAGGATGGCTACTTGTGTTGGGGCTTAAATGCTAATGGTAAGTTTAGCATTAAATCAGCAACTTGGGTCCAAAATACTATGATAAGTGATGACTTGAAGAAAAGTTGCTAAATAGAATGTGGAAGCTAAATATTCCGAATAAGGTCAAAATTTTCAGTTGGTTATTGATTCTTCATAAGCTTCATACTAGAAGTAAAATTCATAAATTTGTCAACACCATAAGTGAGACTTGCTTATTATGTAATGGAGATGCGGAGGATCAAGATCACCTGTTTATTTGCTGTGAGCATGCCAAGCAAGTATGGGCTTATAGTCTGAAGATTAAACCTCCTACTAATCATAGTAGGTGTTCTTTGTTTGAGTGGCTCGCTAGATGCTGATGACGGTGAAAATCTTTCGAGTCTTAGCTTTGCTCTTATTATGTGTTGGCAGATAAGGAAATTGAGGAACAATATTATTTAATAAAGTTAAGATCCACCCTGTTAAAGTGGCGTCTTTAGCCTTTAATATGGCAAATGATTACAATAATGCTAATAAAAGAGACAAATACATACCATTGTTTTTATTTTCTTCCAATTCAATTACAAATATACAACAAAGAAAATTAATTAATTACATAATTAAACAAAAAAAAACAACACTTTTACCATTCACATGCTCTCATTCAGTGTTTCCCCGTACTAAATAGGAAAGGGATCATCTCCAGATCTTTTCCTCCTAATCCATCAAGTTCGGAGATTCAGACTATTAAAATTTAATTTAACAGCTATAAACAGGAATTCACTTTAAAAATTATAATAATTTTAACAGTTGAATCAAATTTCAATAATCTAAATCTCTAAACTCGGTAGATAAAGAGAAAAGGATCGGAAAGGATCCCTTTGTTTACTAAATAATAAGTGGACCCAACAATTCGAACTTACATAATCTCCAAATTAAAGCTGTGTTGACAGTCCACAAAGGCGGCTGCTTCATATATATATATAATAATCACGGACATTTCCAACATGACAGCCTTGAGTTGGTCAATCCCTTTCTCGGCAGTTGCCTTTGTTTATAAAAGAAGATAATCTAGTAATTGGGCGCGCCACACGTTTATGTCGTTAACTGTATTATTCTGAAGGCGTCTTTCTCTTCCAGAAGATAAGAATAGGCATCTAGTCTTTACGTGAGAAATGCCCCCGCTTGACAAATTCTAAAGTTTATTTTTAAATCCACAAGTAGTCAATCTCTCAAAGACTCCAAACTTTCCTTTTTTTGGTCCAGATAAAGACTTGAAACTTAGCGTCACAAAGCGCCAGGTAACTCTGAGGTTTGATTAGGCAACAACTTCCCGAGAAATTTAAAATTTTTTGTTATATTAGTTAGTAAATAGTGTCAAAAAACTATTTTAGTTAGTCGATTTAACTAAACATTTCCAACAACACTCTATTTTAAAAAAACCTCTAATATTGATTACTTTTTAACAGAGAGAAAAAAATTGAATAATTTGAGAGTTTTAAAACTTTTTTAATGTTTAGCAAGTTAATGGTCACTCTATAACATTCATTTAAAGATTCTTTTTGAGCGAAGTTTTGTTAGTTTTTAGCTAACATAGTTGGCAAATGTTTATAGCATCTCTTGGAGATGCTAAGGCAAAGAAATTAGCTCGACATTGTTTATCATTGATTTACTTAGCACAACTAAACGACGTTATTAATTGTAGATTCACTCAATAAGATTAAGCCAAATGTTTTTTTAGAATGAGAAATCAATCGCTTTTTATAAAATTATGAAATTTGCTAATTAACTACATTTTTCATATCATATCTATACCACCTCTCTAATAGAGCGGTGGTACATATATGATATGAAAAATATGATAAAAGTAGCATTTTTGTTTAAATACACATACACAACCTTTTTAAAAGAGAAATTACCTTCAATTGATAGGATAATTAGTTAATACCAAGGGATAGTTCGACAAAGTTTGATACCATAAAATGCTTGGATTCTCAATGTCATTGCAAATTGTTGGTCAAAAGTCTTCCAAATGGCAAATACGTTTTGAAATATTAACAAAGAAAAAAACAAAGATAATAAAAAATTAATGCAATAAAAAAATCCTATGTCTCCACTTGAATTTCTTAAACATTTTTACCGTGTCTGACACCACAAGAATTTTATAAATACAGCAGCTCCTTGGTCCCAAGTCATTCAACTCATTCAACTCCTCAGAGCCTTTTGTAATTCTTTGATACATACCAAACCAAGAGCAAAGACAAAAATCACTCATCCTTTTTTCGTACACAATGAAAGGAGAGGGGAAGAACACGAAGTGCCTAGCATATGTTGCTATTTTCATTGTATTTCAGATCATAGTCATCACAGCCTTTTCACTTACTGTGATGAAAATCAAGGGTCCAAAAGTCAGGTTTGGCACCGTTGCAGCAGAAAATTTCAGATCCACAAGCTCTAACGCTCCATCTTTGAGTTTGAATTTGGTAACCAACTTTGCAGTGAAGAACACAAACTTTGGTCACTTCAAATATTCAAACAGCACTGTCACAATCTACTATGCAGGACAGGCAATTGGGTCCGCTGATATTCCTAAGGGAAAAGTCAGAGCTCGATCCACACGAAGAACCGATGTCGTCATTAGCATTAACACAGACAAGCTTTCAGGATCCACAAACCTTGGCAATGACATTAACTCAGGTCTTGTGCCTCTGACTAGTGAGGCTACCTTGAAAGGAAAGGTTGAATTGATGAAGATTATCAAGAAGAACAAGTCTGGCAAAATGAGCTGCAGCATGTCAGTTAATTTGGCCAACCGTGCTGTCCAGGATTTGAAGTGCTAGTGATCAAAATTTTGTGTGGTTTTGGTTAATTTAGTTCTTTGTGGTATAACTTTTTTCTTCCGATGAGGACTTTATAAGTCTCCCTTTTTTTAACTTTTTTTAATTTTTAGCTTTTAGGTATTGCACCTTGTTTTTTGTAATGCCTTTTGGATTCTTGTGTTATATTGATTATAAATTCTTTTATATTCATATTCATTTGGAGTTGAGAGTAATTTATGCTTTTTTGTGGGTAATGATGGGCAACAAAAGCAAGCACAATTAGAAAAACTACTTTTAAAATGAATTCATGATACTTTTTCCTGGTAGAAAAATGAATTCTAGTATGCTTATGCTTAAGTGAGTAAGCCAAAGAAAATTAAAATGGTGAGAGTCCCATCATGCTTATTTAGGACGCTTTCTTTATGTAATATCTATCCGTTATCTTAACGAACATCGAACACGTATTTATGAAAAGAAAAACAAAATATAGTCCAAATGTAAATAGATATTCGATTAGAAATGATTTCTTAGATTTGTATAATTCCTTATTTTGGTTCTTGATATTTGAAATCAATAGAAGTATTCTATGAGTTTGTCCAGCATCAATCATTTTGATCTTTCCATAATGTGGTAGCCCAACGGCCAGGAGGGCCCACGGCCATGCAGGCCCAAGGTGAGCAGGCACCGGCCCAGCACGCCCCGCAACCCTCTCCGACGACCTGGCCCGCGGCCCAATCCATTCCAAGGCCATCTCCAGCGATTCGAATTCTGACCACCAGTCCCAAGATCGATTCAGGGTTGCTTTCACCCTATTTTTATGTAGGAATTCCCCCTTTGGGCTCAAATTTTGTACCTGCAGTCCACTATACTTCCACCACACATGGAGACACCCATTATCCATACTCTTCCAATGCAAATGGTACGTGAGCACCACCTGCCCCAGCAGTTCACCAATTTGACGAATGCCATTGCGCAGCAAACCACCTTGGTGAACCAACCCCTTGAGCGCATCGAGATGCAGCACGCTGATAGGGATTTTTACCACTTGCAAAAGTAGAGATAAAAACACTTAAAAATACTTGCAAGAGAACAAGGTAGTTGTAATATAAACGGCTCAAACAAGGTCATTTTCACAGGGATTGAATAAATAATTTATGTAAATACCAAATCTTAATTAATTATTTAAAAAACAAAGATTGGAAAAAGTTGATTTTATGACCTAGAATATTAAAAACGAATTTTAAATTAAAACAAATAAATAACTTGACAAAGTAAAGAAAACAAAAGGAAATAGTTTTGAAAACCAAATTGCAAAAGCCTAGGGTTCCGCCATCCCCTTAACAATTCTATGTAGATTTATCAATTACTTATGAATTGCCCATGCAACTTTGAAGGTTAGGTTTTCCTAATGCATATTCTACTTGTAGTATTCAAGCTAGAACGTATATCAAACATGCAATCCATTCGTGGTATTCATATCAAATATAAACATGCATGACTCATTACGCTTTGTGAAAACCCCTTGAAAAACCATGCAACCCCTAAGACGTGGTATTCATCATAGGTGAAATTACAACTATCAATCACTAGAAGCAATACTCAATTCCCCGGTGGTATTCCAACCGAATTGCATCCAATTGCTTATCTAAGCATCATAATGGTAGCTAAACAGTAAAATATAGAGATAGTTTAAAATACAGTGATTAATAATTCAAAGCATGCATGCATAATATCATAAGCAATTAAATAAAAACTACATATCTATGCTAAGGCTCAAGGCATCACCCTAGCAAACGAAAATTAGCTACTAGCAACCATAAAACAAGGGGACTTTATTGAAATAGAAAACACCTTCAAAATACAAAGTGTCAAAGCCTAGCTAAATTCTCCACATACGTTCCTCCCCCGCCCCCCCCCCCCCCCCAAAAAAAAAAAGTTGTGTAACCAACCCTAATGGCTAACAAGCCTTATTTATACTACTCTAATTAAAATCCTCCTAGTAAAAGGTCTTAAAAGAAAACTAGGAAACATAATTAAATGATAAAATAGAAAATAAAAGGTTTCCTATTTGAACTAGAATTCGGAGTTCTCAGAAAATTAGTCTTTTGACTGACCAAATCAACTCCGATTTGGTTCCAAACAGTCTCTTTTGAAAGCTGAAGACGTCCCCTACAAATCCTCAGAAGGAATCTTCCTCAAAATATGCCATCTTGACTTTCAAAATACCCAAAACGTGCAGAAATGTCAATCTGGAAAAGTTGCGTGCTGAGCCTTCATTTCTTTGCTACGGTCAAACGACTTGGTAAAAAAATCTGGAATTTTGATACAAACATCTTGAAAGACTCACAAACATCCTCTAATTGGAATCACTCCAAAATTCATCTGTTTGAATACTTTTTTCTCCCAAGGAAGTCAAATAAATTAATACTAAGATTAGGGTAAAATATATAGTATAATATGGACTCATCAAATACCCCCAAACTTAGCTTTTTGCTTGTCCTCAAGCAAAACAAAACTCAAAAACAAATTAAAAACTAACAAACTAAAACTAAATGACAAAAATTTTACCTTCAAGTTGCAATCTATAGAAAATGTTAAAAATCAGAACATCTTTTCAAAAGTTCCAACTAATCCCACTACAGAGTCTAAGGCATTTAGAATCAATTAGAAAAGAATTCATGAACTTCCTTTGGTGTAAAGTGAACCAACATGACTAAGGAGACTCGACTAAAACCCTTATCTCTCATCCTTCTTTATTCCACACGTATTAACTTTACAGATAGCTTTTTTTTTTTTTTTTCTCTTCTTTTCGATTTTTCTCTCTCTTTTTTTTTTTCCAGTAACATTAGTGGTCGTGCAATATCAGTTCACTTAAGTTTTCGATCTAACCCATGTAACGAGCTTTAGGTCAATGACTCCCAAACCACAAAGGCTTTAGGGCACTAGGTGTAGAACACCCCTAAGGACTTATTAACTCGAGCTGAAAAGGCTACGAAACCAACTAACCACCCTATTCCAAGACTTTACTGTTTGATGCGAGAATCACTGTTGATCAGGAAGGACTGGCCCGATTACTAAGTAAAGTCTCGGGTGGAACAATTATTACTTTATTCATAACAAGAACTAACTTTACTTAAAACAAAAATTAAAATTAAACTTAGACTAAAAGTAAGGTTTCAATCTCACTCCCAGCAAACCATGTTGATGTGAATGCGCAAATTTTCAAAGTATAACTCATGAATTAGTGTCTAAGCAACGATAAATAGAAAATACTCTACTGTGGGATTAATCTTCACCATGTCTATTTGTTCTAATGTTTAAAATAATCTATGGATATTAACTTAAAAAGAATGAAAATTTTTAACATAACTCAAAAATAAAAATCTAAAAATTCTATTTCCCACCCCCAAACTTAATCACACATTGTCCTCAAGGTGTGGAAAATAAAGAAAGAAAATAAAAATATTAAAGCCTTAAAATAGCTAACAAAGACAAAGAAAATAAATGAAGAAAATAAAATAAAGAAAACGATAAAAGAAAGTATAAAATAAGAAAGAAAACAGAAAACAAAAGACTAAGCAACTGACACACTTGGGATTCGAAGACAGGACCTGAAGATGGGGAAAGGCGCTGGAAACTAAAAACCTACAAGTGCTACTAGCTGGATTTGAACCCGTGACATGGAGGAACAAGGTGAGGCGTTGAGCCTTGCACGTGCAGGAACACTCGTGTGAAAACCCTAACACCTGGAGCTTATAAGCCGACTTAATAGCTTCATTCTTCATTTCCAATCCATGAGTGCACTCCGTCGTCATTTCAAACCCTAACACAAAACCGCTGCTCTCTAGCCATTCCAAAATCTTCCAATGGTCTTGGATTTGTCGAACTCAAAAACAAATACCAACCGTGCCTCCATAGCTGGATTTCTATCATTTATTCCCAAATCTCCGTTATGCTGCAAATCGAAGCTCCAATCCGTCGAATCAATGTCCCAGTGCACACCAAGGTAAATATCTCTTTTTTTCTTACAGATTTCATGACCAGAAGTTGCATGAACTCCTTTCTGAACTTGATGCATGGGCTCATTGATATGACGAAATTCTCTAATCTGATACTTGTGTGTGCTGTGCCTGCAAGTTCAACCCACAAGTGATGCAGAGACCCAAAAATTCGTAGATCCTCATGCCCTCGAAAGTAAAATTCATCACTGCAATTATTTGAGCCTGAACTTGCCAAATCTGTAAATGTGCTGCTTGTGCATGTCTAAAATATGAATTAGGTTAAGTCGCATACATCTGTGTAATAGTGCTTTCTGATTTCAGTGCGTTCATGCATCAATGGTTTTAGTCTACTATCTGCAAGCTCATGAATGTTATCTGTATATTGCATGTCTCCATTGATTAACACATGAGCCCAAAAATTCGTGCATGAGGTCAATCTGCGTATTGGCTTAATGAATGTGCTCCCCTCTGTGCTACTTAGATCCCACCCCAAAACTTGTATGTAGTGATATTTTAAATAAAATGCGAGGAAGTGATTAAGTGAGAGGGGGTGCCAAGCAATACAGGGAGTCTTCTCAGCAATCCCACTATGAGTATCTCTGGACCTCAACTTGGTTTCTGTTTCTGTATTACTTTGATTTCTGCATTGCTGAATCTCATGAATGTTGATGAATTAATGATGAAAGCTCAGATAAGTGTTGATGAATGGATGACTAATGGTGCTTTTTGAAATGAATGGATGTTGAATACTGGTGAATGCAAAATTCAGTCGAATGTGCGCGTATGGTGGATGTTAAAGGCCGACTTTGAATCCGAATGTAACCTGCAAAGACCAAGAATTAAAAACTTAATTGGACAAGGATAATAAAAATAAAAATAAAAAACTGAATTTTTTTTTTCTTTAGATTTTTTATTTATTTATTGTTATTTAATTTTTTTTATTCTTGATAAAGACTAAAAGGAAGAAAATATAATGAATGAAAATAAAAAGAAAAGAGTTTAGAAAAATTGGGTTGCCTCCCAATTAGCGCTTTAGTTAACGTCTATAGCTAGACGTAGAAGGAAGAACTGAAGATCACGTCACTTGTTCTATTAGAGTCAACAACTCTTTAGTAGCATCATAGGGCAATAGTAGGTATGGAATGAGTTGTTTATCAATGGTTGAATTCTTCATAATTGCCCTTATATGTGAATGAATCTTTGTGATCAAATAGGGTCCCTTCTAGCAATGCTTGTGTTTCCCTTGAACTGACTTCAATCTTGTATTTAATACCCACAATTTTTGTATAGGTCAAATGTCTTGATGAAAGATGGGGCTGCTATTAAGCTTTTTTTTCTTCCCGTTGTAGAATGTAGCATGCCGGATAGACCTGCCCAGAGTTGCTTTAAATTTGATGGGCTATGTATGTGCAATGTCATGTGAATTTCCAGATTCTGATTTGTTATGAACAACCCCTTGCAACACGTCAGTTATGATGAATTCCGGCAGCTTGGTTGGTTTCTTTGCAGCCTCTTGATTCGGCCAAAGCAAACATTGTGGGAAAATTTCGTGTGGCATATAAGCATGGGTAGCAAATGATTCCGTGGGAATTTCAAGATCAGCATGTGCTTTTTCCTCCATTGGGCACGAGTAACTGGCAGATTGCTCCTCGGTACCTGTACCAATCTCCTCTTGATCATTAAAGCTCTTCCTACAGTTTAATGCTTGAATAAAAAAATCCTTGCTTGGTTATTTCAATGTACAACTCAGTTGATTCCAACAATTTAGAGAGCTTGTCCTTTACCGGAAGCTCCTGTGGCACATTAAACTACTCAAAATAGTGCTCAAGTTGCCTTTGCAAGCTTAGGGTGTAGAACTCTGAATATGGATTGCTCCAATTTCTTTTTGAGTTGTTTCTCATATTGGTATGCTCTTGGACATAATCTGGAAAATATTCCTTCTGAGGACATTGCAAAATATCATGGGTCTTCAAACAACAAAGTGCACAAATTGTAGGTTTAAATCCATAAAAACCCCATTATGCAGAGTTGACCCATAAGGGCGGTCTTCCTGGTTGTATATTGAATCCAGGAGGAGGAACAAATTCCATTATTGCGCGAATTGTAACCTTAAAAAAATTAAAATAAAATCAAGTAAATAAAAAGTTATATACAAAAATAATTAACTAAGAAGAAAACTAGGAAACATAATTAAATGATAAAATAGAAAATAAAAGGTTTCCTATTTGAACTAGAATTCGGAGTTCTCAGAAAATTAGTCTTTTGACCGACCAAATCAACTCCGATTTGGTCCCAAATGGTCTATTTTGAAAGCTGAAGACGTTCCCTACAAATCATCAGAAGGAATCTTCCTCAAAATATGCCATCTTGACTTTTAAAATACCCAAAACGTCCATAAACGTCATTCTGGAAAAGTTAATTGTAAGCCTTGTTCTACACCCTGTAAGCCACATCAGTTTGTTCTTGCTGTTGAAGGTGAGTTATTACCTGATCCTACTATATACAGAAGCCTTGTTGGAGCCCTGCAATATCTAACCTTTACAAGGCTTGATATTTCATTTGTTGTTAATAATGTTTGCCAATTTATGAATGTCCCAATCAATATTCACTTTAGTTTGGTCAAAAGAATCATGGTACTATGAAATGTGGCTTGCATTTTTCTTCCGGTACTGGCATGGAAATCAATGGCTATAGTGATTCAGATTGGGCTGCTGGATATTAATACCAGAAGGTCTATTATTGGATATGTGATTTACCTTGGTGATAATGCTATTTCTTGGCAATCTAAAAAGCAAAATTTAATGTCAAGAAGTTCTATTGAGGCTGAATACAAGGCCTTAGCTCATGCAACAACTTATGTATCTTGGATCAGGTTAATTTTAAGGGACATGGGTGCAATTTTACGTAATCCTCCTCTTCTACTTGTTAAAACGGAGTCTGCAATTGCATTAAGCCTGAATCCAGTGCAACATTCCAGGCTTAAACACATGGAAACTAATTTCCACTTTATTCGAGAAAGAGTACAGAAAGGTGATCTGAACAAGTGGCAGATGTGCTAACTAAATGTTTACATGATCCTGGCTTTCTTAGACATTGGGCTTACCTTAAACTGGGAAATCCCAGTTACGATTGAGGGAGGAATATTGGATATAGATGAATTGTATACTTGTGCCACATCATCAGTAGCTTAAGAGATAAGCTATGTAGTTTTGAATATGATTGTATAGAAAGGAATTTCCCTCTCTTGTATTGTAGGCTGATTGTAAGAAATACATTTACACATTTACAAGCTTTCTTCTCTCCTAAGCTTCTTCTTTATCTTCTTTCTTCTGAGTTTCTGCAAATATGAATCTTTATGTTAATACCTTGTTCCTAATAGAATGCATGTGCCACAAGCCTTGCATTATATTACGTACCATCAGCCAAGATTTCAAGAGCATCTATCTTTTCTTACTTGAAACTATTGATCATTTGATCAAGCACTCATCATCTATTTTCATTCTTCAACTGTTTGACAACACAAAAAAACCATTGTTCAACTCTTTGGCAACATAACAAACCAAAAGCTTTGCCCTCTCTTCTATCTATCCAAGGATGAAAGGGCAGAGACCTTTGGTGTCCCCTCCAGTCAAGAATTTGAGCCTCACAATCACTAGCCAATATGTTTTTCTCTCGTACCTTTCTTTGCTCATTTACTATAGCTAAAATATTTGGTTTGCGAGTTATTTTAATTTACTCCGACATCTTAATTATATTAGCCCAAAAGAGTATGTGAAACTATTGTAACACTTAAATTCCTCAAATGATAATATACAGTCTCTACTCGTTGACATATAGGATTGTTAGTTTGTGGAATTCAGTACAAGCAGTAGTAGTTTTGATTCTAGACTACAAGTGGTCAAATAATACGATCGAACTAAAAGCATGATTTCTGAGAAAAGTAGTAATTGCATCATGACAATATTCCCACGACTAAATGTATGAAAGAAACACATTTTTGTTCGAGAATCATAGTTAAGTGTGTGATCAGTTACAATGCAAATCCCCTTAATATGGTAAGTTAAAAATGAGTTTCGTGCAGTAAAACCTTGTGTCTTCTTTTTTTTTTTTTTTTTTTTGGTTTCTCTTAAGCATACAATTCATGTTTGATGCGATCATAGAAAAATCAACTTGTTGGAAAAATTAGGGTCTAATTGTTATATTAAATCACATAAAAAATTAAGAAATGATTCATGCAATTATATTTCAAAATTAATGCATACATATGAGTAACCAATGTTAAATGAACATGACATAATGGATTAGGAAAACTTGAAAATTCGGTCGAGGCAGGTGTTAGACAGTTAGACACTTTGTCCTTAAGACAAGTTTATGCTCCACTACGGTGCTCATAGTTGATTGGCGCTTGTCTCCCAAGATACAACTACATCCTTGTAATAGTAGCACTCCAAATCACAAGCCTCCATGAACCACAATTGTGTTGAATACTCTTTCATATGAACTCAATGAGATTCTCTAATATTTAGTGCACTATATGTATGATTATGTAAAACAATGAAAATTGATTTTATATTTACAGGGGGGCTTCCTCATTTATAGGATTTGTGATGACTCTTTGAAAAACATGTGATTATTCATGAAGAGTCAAAAGTTACAATTCTTCATTTGAATAGACACATCTTTCTACCAAAAAGTTTCACTTCTAATTTTCATTCAATTAATAAATTTAATATATAATAGGGAATTGTTATTAGCACTCTAAAAATCTCATTCTACACTCCAAACTTTCTATATTAGGAAAGAAAAATACACTTGTGAGAAGTGTAGAATGAGATTTTTAGAGTGCTAATAACACTTCTCATATAATAATATTATTATTAAATTTTCCAAACACAATTACCAAAATCCAGAATCATGCAACCTTCAGCTATCAGCTACCCGAGCTGTATCAAACCTCCCCGAATTCAATCCCGGAGTAGAAAGTCCAAAAGCCCATATAAAACTGAGGTTGAGCTAGAGCAAAGCCTATAAACCCGAAGCCCATCAAAGACTTTGTTCTTTGTTTTTTGTTTTTTGTTTTCCTGTTTGTTGGGGTTTGGTGTGGAGGTAAGTTGTAGTGAGATGGTGTTCACACACTTTTTTTTAGTTTTTATACACATTCTTCTTTGTTTTTGATCATCGGATTGAATAAATTAAATGAAAGCATAAGTTGGAGTCAAACATGGGTGTGTCAGAGGCTCTAAAGAGTTTTACCATTTGCCCAGTTTTATTGTATCTCATGTCATTGCAAAATTTTGCTAGTAAACTCCAATCTCCATATTAAGGTGTTATATTGAAATGATTCTCATATCTTGAGAACTATATAAGTTTAGATTTGGATTCTGAATTAAACCTTCAACTCATAAATTAATATGTGAATATTATATGGATCATAGTGTCTTAAAAAGAGATTCCACCTTTCACATTATAAATTTATTGTGTTGTCCTAAAGTTCATACCATAGCATCCAAAAAAGAATAAAGACTTCAACATTTTTAGCAAATAATCATATAAAAGTTTTTTTGTTTTTTTTTTTTTGAACAACTGATATTATCTATACAAGTGGAAGGGGGGGGGGTTAGCCTCACAACAAGCTAGATAATATGTTCAAACTCACATTTGGCGAGAATTGAGCCTAAGACCTCTCATTTACAAGTGAAGAGAAACACCACTAAACCATAGCACTAAATGACATATAAAAGTTAATTATAATGACCAAAGTACATGAGATTAATAGGGAAAGGTGATACTATTTATACACTTATTTTTACCTTTCATACACCCCTATTAACTTTTAATCATCTTTGATTCATTAATTGTGTGTGAAAGATAAAATGGTATGTCCCGACAACACCACCCAATAAAGAATAATGGCCACTAATTTAGTACTTCACGCTGGATTCCAATATCTTCCAAAGACACTTCCACTTATGTTTCAATGAAAAATAAATAAAACATGAAGTATGATCCCCATTTACTGGAAAATTTCTATTACTGCAAAGTAACTTAAAAAGTAACTGCACTGCATCTGCATGTGGTCCTTCTGCCTGCACGGCAACTTCCTCATCCACGTTCTAGAAGGATATTCCTGTGCCCACTTCACAAAAGGAGGAGATCAATCACTCTAACAGACAAAGCCATCTCATTCCCACCACCTCCATAGTCCACTGAAAGAACCTTCTTCTGTTAATTTCTCCTTTTTCCAAACTGTCTTCTTCTACCCACCTATGAATGTCTTCTTCCATTAACCCCTCATCCAAGTCAAATCATTAGCAATTTGGTCAACTTCTCCATGCTGTATCGCACTCTAGCTTTACTAGCTCCCCAATAATGACGTTTTAGGTCAACTTCTACATCTCACCACCAATATCTTGCCGTGTATACAATGCAGGCACAAAGCAGCATCCAAATTTTTCATAGACCCCTCACTAACCAGAATATTTCTTCTAGTTGTGCTTCTTTACTTTAATTTATATGGCTAAATACTAAATAGAGATTATTTTGTATACATACATACATACATACATACATACATATACATATATATATATATATATATATGCACTTCAATTGTCTTTCTTTTCTTTTTTTCTACCAAGACTGTACAAAATTCAGTTTCTTATTTTTATTGATCTAAGATTATTGCAAAATTTCTTACTCCGAAAGTGAACGAAGGTGTTAGGAAGGGATATGGATTTGAAAGGAGAAGCTAAAGGGCATGGAAGTTTATATATATAAGTATTGCCCAAGAGTGTTCTAAAAGTGTTCCTTGTGGAATTCGAATTTGGTTGAACCTTTTTGATTGAACTCATAGCAAAGCTGGCTGAGTTCTTTAGCCAAAACTGGTGCTCCACAATAGAATACCCCTGCTCAAATATTTCAACACGGTTAATTAGTAACAGTATTTGGAGAAAGCAAGCGAATTCTGCTTATAGGTT